GGAGGTGTGGGGTGAAGGAGCCTGCTGATTTGATGCTTATAAAACCACTGCAGTTGGGAAGTCTACCAGCAGCCACCAGAGAACAGGAAAGAGCATGTGTCTGCCTCTTCCTCTAACCTAGCAATCTCCTAGCTCCCGACATGATCTAAGCCAGTGATGGTGAACCTATGACACGCGTGTCAGAGGTGACACATTTATACATATTTTTTGGTTGATTTTTCTTTGTTAAATGGCATTTAAATATATAAAATAAATATCAAAAATATAAATTTTTTTTTACTATGGTTGCAAATATAAAAAAAAAATTATGAATATTTCTATATGTGACACGGCACCAGAGTTAAGTTAGGGTTTTTCAAAATTTTGACACGCTGAGCTCAAAAGGTTCACTATCACTGGACTATACTCTCAGTTGGGGGTGGGGTGGAGGGGTGAGTAGGAAAGAATTGCATACAAAATAAAACCATAAACTCTTATTAGTAGGTTTGTTTTCTGTAGTGGTATGGTATAGTAATTCTGAAACTATTTTACATGTACTGTAGGATTGAACAGATAACTCAAAGTTGTGATGTTTGGGGAAGCCAGGAGTTTAAAAAAGAAGGAAGATTCAAATATGCAATGTGGCGAGTAAAGAAAGATTTCTGTGAGGAGAGAGTGGAACTAGAAAAATCAGTTTGAGCTCATGAGTTCCAATATACAGATTGTATGTATAAAAGAAGCGGGACTTGCAAGACACCTAAGTTAGGTTTACTTTATGACATATAATATTGTCATTTTATTATATATGTATATATGTACGTATCTGAATTTCCTACTTCTGTCCACTGAAAGGGCTTAGAAGCACATATAGCAGTGAGCACACCCAGTTCCCATATTTTGATTTCTAAACTGCATTCCCCAACTAAAAGAAACCTGTGCTCCTTTTGGAAATAGCAAGTTGCAGGATTTCTGCAGGGAAAAATTATAAGAGCCTGGAACATCTTGTGCCACAAAGTAAGGAAATACTCAAAGAAAAGAAAAAGTTGATCATGTCAAAAGGACATAGGAACCAATTTGAATTGTCAAATAAATAGAAATAAATAAATAATGGAAAAGAAAATGCTCTCCTGCCTTGACCAGTGTGGCTCAGCTGGTTGTCCCATTCGCCAAAAGGTGGTGGTACCCGGTTAGGGCATATATCCAGGTAGGGGGTTCAATGCCTGGTTGGGGTGTGTATGGGAGGAAACTGATTGATGTTTCTCTCTGTCTCTCTTTTCCTCTCTCTAAAATCAATTAAGAAAAAAAAGAAAATGCTCTTCCTTGCTATAGAATGTTACCTAATAAATGTAGAAGGAAATCATCATTACTATATAGTAATAATCCTTCTAAGCAAGAATCATCAATTACTTAAAAAATCTAATGAGAAACAAGATCCTTTAAAGTATCACCCATATCAATATTAAAAACTTCTGTACATCAAAGGAAAAAAGCAACAAAGTGAAAAGATAACCTATGGAATATTAAGAAATATTTGGAAATCATGTATCTGATAAGAATACATAAAGAAGAGCTAAAGCCCGGTCAGTGTGGCTCAGTGGTTGAGTGTCAACCTATGAACCAGGAGCTTACAGTTCGATTCCTGGTCAGGGCACATCCTGGGGTTGCGGGCTTGATCCCTAGTGGGGGGCATGCAGGAGGCAGCCAATCGATTCTCTCTCCCTCCCTCCCTGAAACCAATAATATATATATATATGGAAAAAATAGCTAAAATTCAACAACAATAAAAAAAACCACTTAAAAAATGGGCAAAGAACTTGAGTACATATTTCTCTAAAGATACACAAATGGCCCATAAGCACATGAAAAGACGCTCAACTTCACTAATAATTAGGGATATACAAAATCAAAACCACAATCAGATATGACTTCATATACATTAGGATGGCTATTATCAACACAATAGAAAATAAGTGTTGACAAGGGTGTAGATAATTTAGAACCCTTGTAAGTACTGTTGGTGGGAATGTAAAATGGTGCAGTTGCTATGGAAAACAGTATGGTGGTTTCTCAAAACATTAAAAATATAATTACCATTTATATGATGCAGCAACTCCACTTTGGGTATATGCACAATAGAACTGAAAGCAGGGATTAGAACAGATATTTGTACCCATATTTACAGCAGCATTATTTGCAATAACCCAAAGATGTCCATCAGTAGATGGACAAACAACAAAATGTGTACACACATACAAGCACACAGAAATATTATTCAGCTTTAAAAAGAAAGGAAAATCCCTATAACGTGACAACAAAGATGAACCTTGATGACATTATGATAAATGAAATAAGCCAGTAACAAAAAGACAATGTACAATTCCACTTATATGAGGTACTTGGAATAGTCAAATTCATAGAGACACAAAGTAGAATGGTGGTTGCCAGGTGTTCAGGAGAGGGGAGAATGGGAAGTTAATGTTTAATAAGCACAGAGTTTCAGTTTTACAAGATGAAAAAGATTATGGAGATGGATAGTGGTGACAGTTGTTGAATGTATTTAATGCCATAGAATAGTCTTTAAAAATAGCTCAGATAATAAATTTTATGCTATCTGTATTTTACTAGAATTTTTTAAAAAAACTATCTCGCCCTGGCTGGAGTGGCTCAGTTGTCCCATGCGCCAAAAGGTCACCAGTTCAATTCCTGGTCAAGGCACAGACCTAAGTGCCCAGGGATCAAACCCAAGTCGGGGTGCATATGGGAGGTCAACTTATCAATGTTTTCTCTCACATTGATGTTTCTCTCTCTAAACTAAATAAAAACATTTAAAACAAAAAGTTATCTCCCAAGAGCAAAGAGAAAAAGAATAACTTGACAAGAGAAACATGGCAGATACCAACCTAACCAAGTGATCAAAGTTAACATCACTATTAACGAAACAAATACTATGTGCTTCTTGATAAGATACACTGATAAGGAAAAAACACACATATTAATTCCTGCCAAAAATGCTTGATCAGAATTTAATAAAGAAGAAGTATCAGACAAACTCAGACTGAGGGACAGTCTAAAAATAACTTGCCTGCAACCTTCAACCATGTTAATGTCATTAAAGAAAGAAGGCAAGGCTGAGGAATTGTTCCAAAATAAAGAAAACTAGAGAGGCACAATATCTAAATATAAACATGAACCTGGACTCAATTCTGTATTAAAGGGAAAAAAATGCTAAAGGACATTATTGGCACAAATGACAAAACTGGAATATGGGTTGTTGATTAGACAAAAGTATCACATATCAATGTAGAGTTTAGTGAAGTTGATAACTGTACTATTAAAAAAAATTTTTTTAAGTCCTCACCTAAGGATATTTTTCCATTGGTTTTTAGAGAGAGTAGAAGGGAGAGACAGAGAGAGAAACATTGATGTGAGAGAGACACATTGATTGGTTGCCTTCGCACACGCCCCAACCCGGGCAAGGGGATCAAGCCTGCAATCTAGGTATGTGCCCTTGACAGCAATCAAACCTGGGACCCTTCAGTCCCCAAGCTGATGCTCTTTCTGCTGAGCCAAACCGGCTAGGGCCATTATGCTTTTTAATAGTACAGTTATCACCCTAGCCATTTGGCTCAGTGGACAGAGTGGCGGCCTGGGGACTTGAAGGGTCCCGGGTTCTATACCGGTCAAGGGTACATGCCCAGGTTTCAGGCTCGATCCCCAGTAGGGGGTGTGCAGGAGGCAGCCACTTGATTCTCTCTCATTACTGATGTTTCTATCTCTCTCTTCCTCTTCTTTCCTCTCTGAAATCAATAAAAATATAATAAAAAGAAAAAAAGCATAATGTATGTAACCTATTCTTGGATGGTTCAGAAAAAAATAAGATATGCCCTGGTTGGTTTGGCTCAGTGGATAGAGCATTGGCCTGTGGACTGAAGAGTCCCAGGTTCAATTCCAGTCAAGGGCATGTACCTTGTTTCAGGCACATCCCCAGTAGGGGGAGTGCAGGAGGTAGCTGATAGATGTTTCTCTCTCATGGATGTTTCTAACTCTCTATCCCTCTCCCTTTCTCTCTGTAAAAATCAATAAAATAATTTTTTAATTTTTTTAAAAAAGATAGATAGATAGATATAGCAGTATCTATAGATAGAGACAGCAAAGGAGAGAAAGAAAGAGAATGCTAAAACAAATGTGGCAAAGGTTAAGAACACTGATGAGTCTTGGTAAAGGGTACATGAGTTCTTTACACGATTGTTATAACTTTTCTGTAAGTTTGAAATTATTTCAAAAAAGTTAAAAAAGATAAATGATACAGATACATATATAGACTGAAATAAAATAAAAAGGTAACAAATGCATTTAAAATAAGAAATTGCAAAAGTATAGCTTCCCAAAAAAGGAACACATATCTTACCCCAGTAGTTGCCACAGGAAGTGGATTGGCTGTGTAAAGGCTTCTTTTTCCATCATAAACTGGCCTACGGTCCCCAAATATAGTTACTTTAAAATGCTGAACCATTGAGTCAACCACCTCCCTACAAAAAGGAAAAAATACATTCACATAATCTTCTACATGATGAAATTTTAACAACTTAAAGTAATTTCTTAACATTATTTAAAGCTGTCAAAATTCTATCTACCCTGCCCCCCCTTTATTTTTGAGAGAAGGGAAGGGAGAGAAAGAAACATCAATGTATAAAAGAAACATCGATCAGTTGCCTCCCATATGTGCCCACCAGGGATCAAACATGCAACCTATGCATGTGGCCTGACTGGGAATCAAACCGGCAACCTTTTGGTGCACAGGACGACATTCCAACCAATTGAGTCACACCCACCAGTAAAGCTGCCAACATTCTAAAAGACAATCACATGTAATAAAAGTTTTGCTTTCAGGACCAGGATTAGATATCAGAAAGGGATGATAGGAATTTCACACAAAAATAAAGAATGAATTCAGTGTATTACTTAATCATTCTGGGCCACAGTTGACCTGCAAAATATTAATCCTAGAACCTGATCTAAAAATCCCTTTCATCATCTCTAAGCACCATCCAACACATTCACCTTTCTTTGTCTAAGAGTTTGATGCTCATTCCTCTGTGCTCAAATAGCACCTAGCAAATATATCCATTAAAACACTTATTCCTTTGTATTATCTATATATATATAAGCCTAATATGCTAAGTGTCTGACCGTTCAACCATTAGACCAGTTGCTATGATGCACACTGATCACCAGGGGGCAGTAACTCCGACTAGTAGGTTAGCTTGCTGCTGGGGTCCGCCAATCAGGACTGGGCGAGATGGGCTGGACATGCCCTGGAGCCAATCTCCCATGGTCCCTCCCTGGCCTCTAAAATATTTCTTCTAATTAATTCATTTCAATGTGCATGAATCCATGCACTGGGCCTCTAGTCCTATATAATAAAAGGCTAATATGCAAATAGACTGAACAGTGGAACTACCAAAACAACCAGTTGCTATGACGTGCGCTGACCATCAGGGGGCACACATGGAACATGGTGGGCATTGGGAGCAGGGGGCTGAGCACGGAACATGGTGGGCATCAGCCACAGCAGGATTGTGGGGCAGGTGAGCAGGGGTGCCAGATCAAGGCGGGGCACCGGTCGCCATCATTGGGGCAAGCCTCTGATAGTTACTGAAAATTCTTTGCTCCCGCATGCTGCAGCCCCACCTGGTGCTTGCACTCACTGCTGGTGCTGGAGCTGCTGCTTGCACCCACTGCTGGCACCTGGTGCCATCAGCAGGTGCGAGCAGTGGCTGCCGGCCCCAATCACTCCTTAGGGCTTCTCCACCTCCCATTGCTCCTGAGGGGTGATTGGGGCTGGCAGCCACCTCTCACACCCACTGCTGGCAGCAGCCCCACTCGCACCCACTGGTGGTGCTGGCCCTGCTCACACCCGCAGCCAGCACCAGAGCCACTGCTTGCACCTGCAGCCGGTGCCGGGCACCAGTCCCAATTGCTCAGCACCATCAGTGGGTGTGAGCGGCAGCTGCCAGCCCGAACTGCCCCTGCGGGCTTCTCCACCTCCCATTGCTCCTGAGGGGTGATTGGGGCTGGCAGCCACCTCTCACACCCACTGCTGGCACCTGGTGCCATCAGCAGGTGCGAGCAGTGGCTGCCGGCCCCAATCACTCCTTAGGGCTTCTCCACCTCCCATTGCTCCTGAGGGGTGATTGGGGCTGGCAGCCACCTCTCACACCCACTGCTGGCAGCAGCCCCACTCGCACCCACTGGTGGTGCTGGCCCTGCTCACACCCGCAGGCAGCACCAGAGCCACTGCTTGCACCTGCAGCCGGTGCCGGGCACCAGTCCCAATTGCTCAGCACCATCAGTGGGTGTGAGCGGCAGCTGCCAGCCCGAACTGCCCCTGAGGGCTTCTCCACCTCCTCCTGCTCCTGAGGGGTGATCAGGGCAGCAGCTGCTGCTTGCACCTGATGACAGCACTGGCCCTGCTCGCTGCACCTGCTGCTGGTGCCAGCCCCAATAGTTCTGGGCTGTTCAGTGGGTGCGAGTGGGGCCAGCGCTATCAGCATGTGGGAGCAGCAGCGGTGGGAGCAAGGCTGTTGGCAGACAGGAGCCTGGGGACTGTGGTGGGAGGGGCCAGGCGGGGGTGTGGAGGATGGGCCTAGACCTGCCCCTGTTCCCACTGAAGCCTCATAGCCCACAGTTCTTTTCAAGGTGCGTGAATTTGTGCACTGGCCCCCTTGTAGTTACTACATACTTCACTTCTACTAGACTGAGATTCTTGACAGCAATAAACACACCTGTACCTTGTACCACTCCTATCCTTTTACATACACTCCCCATCTTTACTCAAGTATCCAGGCAATAAGGATATTTTAAAGCCTCCATTTTTACCCAGCAAACATTTTTATCCCATTTACTTATATGGAAAGAGATTCAAGACATTTTTTTTAAAGTACAGACTACAGAGAGAACAATACCAAATATCAAAAAGTCAATATTTATTTTTGTACACACATATTTTGTAAAAGCAGGGGAAAGATATCTAGAAGGATAGGTACCAAAATACATATAGTGGTTACCTCTGGAGAGAGAAGCAGAGAGAATGATTTTTAAATTTTGTTTATACAAATCTAAATATATTATGATGAGACTATGCTCACATAATACTGGTATAATATATAATAGATATAAGAGAATAAAAAAATTCAATTCTAGCCCAGTCGAGTAGGTGATAGGAAAAAGAGGGGGGGAAAAGCATTTTCTGGAACAAAATAATTAAGCTGATTTGCTACTCAGAGCAATTTTCTACATACTCAAAGTTTCTACTTGCCCCCCTTTTCAATTTTATTTTTATTTTGCTGAAATTATTTAACTTAATATCATCTTTTCTAAAGTAAATTTTACAACAAAGATATGAAGCACTGCTCAGTGTTTAGGTATAAAACAAATTTCAAAGATTTCCTGCCATTTCAAGTTTACATCTGTGGCCATTATCATTAATTCCAGTTTCTCCGGTGAAATTTTTATAGATCTAATTCATCAGGATATTTTTTCACTTTTTAGTTAGCAGTAAATAGGTGTTGTTTCAAGCTAATCAAATCTTGGCAAACCACTCTAAGGATCAATATGGCGGCAGAGATTTAAAATAGCAGGGCCAAAACATCTTAGGGCTAGAAAATATTTTGCTTTGATGCCTATCACACAGTATATACCTGGCTCATCTCTTTGTCCAATTAGTTGTTGACTCCACCACTCTGCAGTATTTCTTCTTCTTTGCTTTCCTTTTTTTTTTTTAATTGATTTCAGAGAGGAAGTACGAGGGAGAGAGAGACAAAAACATCAATGATGAGAGAGAATCTTTGACCAGCTGCCTCCTGCACACGCCACACTGGAGGGTCAAGCCAGAAACCTGGGCATGTGCTCTGACCAGGAATTGAACCATGACCTCCTGGTTCATAGGTCAACACTCATCTACAAAACAACACTGCCTGGGCTTTTTTTTCCCCTTCCTCATCATATATTATACAGGTCATTTCACATTCTGGAGTACTAAGTTCAATTTGTAAAAATTTAAGATCCTAAAATATGAAACGTAACCAGAAGATGATCCTGATATAAACTTATGTAATATGAGTAAAAATAAATCAAACTAAGGAGTTTTAGTCTGGAATAGAAAAGACTCAAAGGAAATTATAGAAGTTTTTGGCTATTTTGATGGACTGTCGTGAAAAACTGAGCAGAAAACCTACCTTGTATGGGCCAACAGAACTAGGACAAATAGTTGGAAAAATATAAGAAGCTTGATTTTTGGAACAAAAATTTCTAACATTTTTAAACACTAGAATTACTCACAAGTGGATTATACTAATTTTAAGTTACTTGAGTTTGTCCTTATTAGAACTGTTTAAAGAGCAATTATGTCAGGGAAGATACCAAAGATTGAAATAAATAATATATACACTCCCCTCTAACAGTAAAATATTTATTATGAGAATATCAAATAATAAAGCACTGCACATTTTATCATGGCATCAGATATAGAAACTTCTTTATCATATAATTGCACTAAAAACTGATTTGAACTTAAGGCTTTAGAGCAAGCATGTGAAACTCACAGCCAGCAGGCTGCATGACTCAAGTTTGACATGCTTGCCTACAGCGTCTAACTGGTTCATGGGTCGATAGTCAACCACTGAGCCACTCTGGGTGGGCCAGATATTATTTTTAGATAAAAATTTAAGCATAATTATCTCAAAAATATACCTCAAAAATTATACTGAAGTACAGTACTGAAGCTTTCCCAATCGATACATTGTAATGCATTAGCATTAAATGTAGTAAATTAATACAAAAAAGGAATTCTGATAATTAACAGAAACTATGACTGAATTTTCTCTATACTGTAGTTGTGGAGCACTAGTCTTTTATTATAACAGTGGGCGAGGATGGGAGCTCTTTGATCTTTTGTTCAAATGTAGAAATTCTAGTACAATATATGTGTACATTGTTAAACCAGCTTCTTAGCAGCTTATAATAAAAAGTAAAACCACAATAACCAAAATACATTAAGTTATAACTTCTAAAGCAATAGTTAGGAAAGCAATTTAGAAAAGAAAATCTGAATAAATAAGGATAAGAACTTCTAAACAATCTTTAGTGGTTTCCTCTTACTAATAAACTTAGTCTGAGGTGGAATGAATTTTTGCGGAGTGGAATATGATGGATTTTTAGAACATCAGGTTACAATTTAAAAATCCATAAGAAAAGCCCTCGCTGGTTTGGCTCAATGTATAGAGCGTCAGCCTGTGGACTGAAGAGTCCTAGTTTCAATTCTGGTCAAGGGCACATCCCTAGGTTGTGGGCTCAATCCCCAATAGGGGGTGTGCAGGAGGCAGCCAATCAGATTCTCTCTCATCATTGATGTTTCTATCTCTCTCCCTCTCCCTTCCTCTCTGAAATCAATAAAAAACATATTTTTAAAAAGAAAAAAAAATCCACAAGAACATCTGGTGATTATTACACAAATGGAACCTGCCTGAGT